AGTTACCGAGTAGGAACAGTACTTCGAGTTTTTTCGTACTTCTCTCCCTCTTCCATTAATGATGTCATGTTGTTATTTATACTCAATGACTGTATCAACTACAATATAGCATGGTTTTGATAGTTTGATCGCGGATGATATAATAATTTGCAAGCAAATTATCTGTAATAACATCACAATTACGAACCTACAAAAAATTTACGTTATCTCGAATACATTTCGTTATGATGCAATTACTACAAAAACCATTAAATAAGAGTGCTTTTAAAGTGATATAAAAATTTCGTATTTTCGTAAATAACCCTTTTTTCAAACCACTTTTCAAACCATTTTTCAGGCCATTCACATTAGCTAAGATGCCGAAAGATATTGTTTCTGAAGCTCTCGAGGACCATAATGTCATAAAGGATCTTAATGGTAGATATATGAAAGAGATTAATCCCAGTGAACAGCAAAAGATTGCTAATACTATTGTGAGAGAACGTGTGTATTGTAAAATTATTACAATGTTTTCTTGGTCTTACTACAGTATAATGATTTAAATTAATTGATTTTCTCCTTTTTAACGTTCATTAATGAATAGTTGCCGTTCACTCGGCCACTGAGGAAATTTGTGCGTATCCGTTGATCGAAAAACATCTTCCAGACGGCAAAAAAATTGCCGATAAATCTCGTGAAGAACACTTACAACTCAAAAAAGATTTATATGAACTTGACAAGAAGAACGTTAATGATGAAGGATACGATACTCTAATCAAAAAGATTATTGAGGTTCATTGAGAATTATCTACACACACACACACAAGTATTTCGAAATTTCGTCTACTAAATTTTTGTTAAAAATTAGGAATTTGAGGAGCATATTAAAGATGAAGAAAATGAAATCTATCCAAAACTTAAAGCTAATTTGAGCGATAAAATATTAATGGAAGAGGGAGAGAAGTACGAAAAAACTCGAAGTACTGTTCCTACTCGGTAACTATTATTTTATTTACTTCTTTATGGGAGTAAAAAGATAACTTTTCAATATATTTATTAATCTTTTTCTATTTATTATTCTAGTCCGCATCCATCCGCCCCTGATCACGTACGTAAGAAAGTCTGTACATTATTATTAATTTCAATGTTTATACTTATATTTTTTACTGTCCCTGTAGCCGCCTCTTGAAACTGCAGGTATATATTTCTTGTTACTTGTTATTTCTTGTTTTTTTTACTTGCTTTTTTGTTACTTGTTACTTCTTGTCACTTGTTACTTCTTGTTACTTGTTACTTTTTGTTACTTGTTATTACTTTTGTTACGTCTTGTTACGGCTTGTTACTACTTTCATTCTTTTACTCTATTCACATCTCTATTTTTGCCCCTAAATAGCCGGAATGGCACAAGCTCCCATTGACAAAGGCCTCGATAAAATGCGTGAATTCGTTGACACCATTCGTGGAAAGATCTGAGTTTTTTTTTTAAATATATTAATTCTGTTAAATTTGGTGGGAATGCTAATGCTTATATACCATAAAAAGCCTAAACGTTACAAATAAATTCAGTATTTGAAAAATGTCAAATGATTGTTATCCTAAATGCGATTTAGTTTTGATATATGTTGTTTTAAAAAAAAAAGCCTGCATCCCTGCATTACGCAGAACCCGAGTATGATCAATATTTGGGGCTTTTTTTTGTTTATCATCAACATAAATAACCCCAAAATTAACTGTATTTTTATAACCGTAAAATGAATAAATTTTTCAAAAATAAATATAAAAAAATGAAAATATTCTTTAAATCAATTTTTTTCCCACATGAATTTTTAAAAAAATTATGGATTTGGAATTACTTTTAAATTTTTCTAAAAATTTTGCTAAATATTTAGAAAAACCAGATGAATATAATGTTATCATACGAATTGGCGAGGGTCCAAATATAAAGACTTTTAAGGCTCATTCATTCGTTTTAAAAGCTCAATGTCCTTATTTTAAAGCCGGCTTATCAAGTGAGTGGGTTAAAAAAGAAGGTGACAAGATCGTATTCGAAAAGCAGAATATATCTGCTGATGTTTTTGAAATTATATTAAAGTATATATTTTAAAATTATTACTAAAAATTATTACTGTTGTTATAAATGCTTCGTTTTTTTAACCTTTTCTTTTTATATTTCTATATATAATATATAATTATATATAGGTATTTATACACCGGAACGGTTTCAATAGAGGAATGCTTTCCTTTAAAAATAATTGATCTTTTATATGCCGCTGATGAACTAATTCTTCCCGAGATGATTTCTTATGTGGAAGAACAATTCATTCTCAAACATAATAAATGGTTATATGAAAATTTTGATAAAATCCTTCACACAGCATTTAAACATGATCTTTGGAAAAAACTTCAAGAATTTTGTTTAGATTATATATGTCCTAATCCTGATATAATATTTCGATCAAGTTCTTTTCTTCAATGTGATGAATTAATTTTAGAAAATTTACTTCAACGTGATGATTTAATGATGAAAGAAATTACAATTTGGGATTTTCTTGTACAATGGGGATGTGGTCAAACTCCTTCACTCGGTGATAATTTTATGGAATGGTCTGATGAAAATTTTTTAATTTTAAAAGAAAGATTACATAAATGTATACCTCATATTAGATTATCTGCAATATCACCTGAAGATTTTTACGCAAAGGTTAGACCATTTAAATCAATATTCCCTGAGGAATTATATGAAGAAGTTCTTTGGCAATATATTAAACCTAAAAATGCCCTTAAATTCGATTTAATTCATCCTCCACGATCTGAACGTGTAAATTCTTCTATTATTAATCTTAAACATGTTGCAATGATCGCTAGTTGGGTGGATCGTAAACCTCAAGGCTACAGGTTGGCTTCAATTCCATATGAATTTAAATTGGTTTTGAGAGGAACTCGTGATGGTTTTACATCTGCAGAATTTCATAAAAAATGTGATTACTATGAAAGAACAATTACTGTTTTAAAAGTAACAGGAACTAATGAGATAGTTGGTGGGTATAATCCATTGAGTTGGAATGGATCCGGTTGGAAATCTACACAAGATAGTTTTATTTTTAGTTTCGATGGTCAGGATAAACCTATACTTAGCAGGGTTCGAGCGAATCATGTTGATAATGCTATTTATATTTATCCAAGTTATGGTCCTCAATGGGGTCAAAATGATTTGAGAACTTGGGGAAGTTTTAATGCGGATTGTTGTCAGTGTCTACGTCAAAGATATGAATTCCCAATTAGATCGAGTCCTGATGTGTTTTCAGCTGAGGAATTTGAGGTTTTTCATTTAGTTAGAAGACAATAAATGTACAGTTTACAAATTATTTTATAAATATTATGATAATGATAATACTTTTATTTATTTATTTTTTTTTTAATGTGTAATTTTTGTTTATAGTTAAATTTAAAATTGATTAGAGTTACTTTTTTCATAAAGATAAATATTACTATTTCACTCGAATTTTCTTTTAAAATATATATTTACCTTCACTTTTTAAATTTGAAATGGTCGCAAAAGCATTTATAAACTACTTTTGTGACCAATAAGCCATCTTTTGAAACATCATCCAACCGCCCAAGTAAGCGTTTTTGTTATTTCTTACTGTATTGGGAATATTAATTTACGTCATTTATCGTTATAGGTTACTTTTAAACAGAAATTTACTAGCAAATAGAGAAATTGACATAACTAGATATTAATACAATTAGTAGTAATATGTAATTAAATAAATGTACAGACATTATAGCATTTTATCAAATATTTAGAAGTTGAAATTTATAATTTGTTTTTCGCGTTAAAGGTTCTAAGTAAAAAATTTCATTTAAAACAAATTGTTTTTACGTGCTTTTCAATGATAGTCCACTCGAACATGCTTGTGAAGGACTATAGATACTGCAAATATTGAAGTCTCATTCTTATTCCTATTGTGATGAAAATGTATATTAGAATGGCCCTCTACCCAAAATTATTTCTAACGATATTAAAATTATTTATAAGATCACGTGAGCACCAAGGAATATAGGCGTAATTCTAGGATTGTACATTGCTTTCTAGGAAAAGTTATGGTTGTGGTCACTGCAGCGTTATTCAATGGCCGAGACGCGACAAATATGAATATATTTGAGTGACAGCAAGAAAATCAAACTTCGGGAGCGTGTTGTCACTTGGCTGTTTGACCATCCAATGGCTAAATTTAAAAAAATATTATTTGACCAAAATGGCCAAATATTTGTATAGAAAAACTAATAATATGATTAGCTTATATAAATTAGAAAGTTGTGGCCGAAGTTTGGCCATTGGACATTTACTGTCGCTGTTGGCCAATTGGAAAAAAGGCCGCAAAAATTGCCTAAATTTAGGAAATTACTATTCTCTACAATGGTAATTTGCTATTTCCACCTGGCGACTAGCATTACAAACCTTATCTTAACCCTAACCCTAATTCTGGTCATGATATACATACTAGATGAAAATAGTCAAATTTATTTATGTCTAGGAAAATCATCGTTTGACACTTGCTTTCAAATAGGACTTTCAAAGATATGTCTCTGATCAGGTCAAGTCCGGTAAATAATAAATGATGGCGTCATTCATTTGGAAATTGTGCGAGGATTTCAGATTACGCCATTTCCAGATTATTAAAATCGCATTATGAGATATTCGGGAGTATCCGACCACCGAATTTGTCATAATCAATCCTATAACTATTGTTGACGATTATTGCGCTTAATGGTCTATTATTTTATTTTTACATCAGTGCCAGATATTAAAGATAAGAATTGTAATTCAAGTGGGAATATTTGCCATATATTCGAAATTTATGTGGGCGTATAAATGAATCGTCCGAAAGATGTTTAACCTGAAACAACTATTTACCCAGTAGAACTTCCCAGCGCCGTAATATTTTCACACATCATATGGGTGACGCCAAGAGAAAACCAGGAATTCTAAAAATAGACTTCCATCCACAGCGAAGTTGCGGGGTTTTT